AGGACCCATCCTGCACTCTGCAACCCCCCCTAAAACCCCTCCCCCAGCCTCCTTAGAATCCTGAGATCTCCCAGACCCCTGGATCCCCCCAGTAATTGGACCCAGGATGCTTCCCCCCCCCATGTCCATGTGTCCAGCTGACCCATGTCCAGCAGGCTTCAACAGCAGAGCAAATTGTGGGGCACTTTGCTGGGCGCCCAGCTGATCTGGTTGTCTGCGATGGAGCCCCCGATGGTGAGGTGGGGTGTGGATCAAGGGGATGGGGCTAGACTTTGGGTATGGGGCTGAGGTCAAGAGGGTAGAGCTAGGGCTCTGGAAGCAGGGGAGGGGGTGGGGGCCAAGGCCCTGTGGGAGGGGCTAGGGCTCTAGAATTGAGACTAAGACTGGGGTGCCATAGCCAGGGTTTAGAGGGCAGGGCTAGGTCCCTGGGAAGGATTAGGCATAGGAGAAGGGATAGGACTTTGAGGGTAGGGCCAGGGCTCCAGGGGGGTGTGGTTGGGTTTGAGAGGGTGAGTCCTGGGCTCTGGGCAGGGATAAGGTTGAGGGGGCAGGGCCTGTGCTGGGGGAGGGGCTGACAAGGGGATGGGTGGAGCTGGGATGGGGGTTGGCACTGAGGGACAGGTGAGATAGGGAGACCCTGCCTTTCATGCCCACCCAGTGACCGGTCTGCATGACATCGACGAGTACATCCAAGCCCAGCTATTGCTTGCAGTAAGTCCACTCCCCCCCCTGCCCTCCACAAGCCCCTCCCATTCTCCTCCCACAGCCCCTCTGCACCCCCCCCACATTGACCCCTTTGCCCCTTCTCTTCGTCCACTCCAGGCCCTGAACATCACAACCCATGTCCTGAATAAAGGAGGCACCTTTGTGGCCAAGGTAAGGTTGGGATGTAGCTAGTTCTGGGGTGGAACAGCTGAGTATGACACTGCCTATGAAGGGCTGAGGTGTAACCAGTTCTGGGGTGGAGCCACTGGAAAATGGCTGAGTATAACACTGTATGGGGAGAATAAGCTGTACCCAGCTCTCAGAAGCAGCTTGGGAACAGCTAAATAAATCAGTGCCTATGAAAGGCTGAGATGCTTCTAGCTCTGGGGGTGGTATGGCTGGGGAACAGCTGAGTATAACAGTGCCTCTAAAGGGCTGATGCACCTAGCTGTGGGGTGGAAGGGCTAGGTATAACACTGCTTATAAAGAACTGAGATGTGCCCAGTTCTGGGGTGGAGCAGCAAAGGAATACTGAGTAGAACAGTGTCTTTGGCTGAGATGCACCCAGTTCTGGGGAGGTACAGCTGGGGAATGACTGAGTATAATACCACAGGGGAGGGCCCAGCTCTGGGGTGGAATGGATGCGTGTAACACTGCCTATGAAGGCTGAGATGTGGCCAGCTATGGGTGGGAAGCCACCCACCTTCTGCCTCTCCACCCTGCCTCCCATCCCCCAGATCTTCCGGGGCAAGGACGTGACCCTGCTCTACTCCCAGCTCCGTCTCTTCTTCCCTGATATTGCCTGTGCCAAACCCCGGAGCAGCCGCAATTCCAGCATCGGTGAGCGCAGCCAGCTCTGGGGTGGGTGGCTGGGGGATGGCTGAGTATAACAGTGTATGTGAAAGGCTGAGATGCACCCAGCTCTGGGGTGGGGCAGCTGGAAATGGCTGACTATAACACTGCCCAGAGAGGGATGAGATGTGTCCAGCTCTGGGGGAGAGAGCAGATAGAGAATGACCAAGCATAACACCACATGGAAGGGCTGAGATGCAGCCAGCTCTGGGGTGAAACAGGTGGGGAATAACAATATAAGCTCCATGGGGTGAGCCAGGATACGACCACCTCTGTGGTGGGGCAGCTGGGGAACAGCCAAGTTTTAACACCCTTCTCTCCCCTCCCCTCATGCAGAAGCCTTTGTTGTGTGCCGTGGATATAACCCCCCTGAGGGCTATGTCCCTGACATGGCCAACCCCCTGCTGGACCACAGTTACGGTGAGCCAAAAGGGGTTGGTATCAGGACTTGGGGGCATGTATTGGAGGGGGGCCATTGGGGTGCTGGTTGCTGGATGGGGGGCAGTGGGGGCTGTTAGAGGATTCTTAGATGTACCCAGCTTAGGGGGTGGGGGGATGGCTGTGGAACAGCTGAGTATAACAAGGTTTTTGGGAGGGCTGAGATGCAGCCAGCTGTGGGGTGGAAAGGCCAGGTATAATGCCCCACTAAGGGTGCAGATGCATCCAGCTCTGGGCTAGAATGGCTGAGTATAACACCCCATGGGGAGGTCCAGAATCTGCCCAGCTCTGGGGTGGGGCAGCTGGGGCCTGGCCAAATATAACAAGGCACTGGGAGGGCTGAGATGTACCTGGCTCTTGGGTGGAACAGCTGAGTATGATAGCCACAGTGCAGCCAGCTGTGGTGAAACAGCCAGGTATAACACCTCATGAAAGGGCTGAGATGCACTTAACTCTGGGGTGGGGCACCTGTGGCCCAGCAGAGTACAACAACCTTGCCCATTCTAGACCTGGAACAGAACCAGCTGGAGGGACCTGCCCGCCTCATTGCCCCCTTCCTGGCCTGTGGAGACCTCAGCGCCTTTGATGCTGACCGCACCTACCCCCTGCAGGTGACATGGGCAGGGCCAGGCTGGGTGGGAGGGACCAGAAGTAGACATGTGGGGTTTGGGGACAGAATTTGAATAGAGGGCAGAGTCTAGCGGGGGGTGGGGGGAATGAATCCAAATTTGGGGACATGGCTACAATGGGTGGTGCTATAAATGGGGGCAGGGCTATACTGCTGGAAAGGATGAGAATGGGGAAGGGGCAGGTTGGAGGTGTGGCTGAGATTGGGGTGGGGGTGGGATCAGACTGGGGGGCATGGCTTTAGGGGGCATAGCTCCATTGCTTGGAGGAAGCAGAATGGGGGAAGGGAGTGGAGTAAGAATGGGGTTGCAGCTCTCAAACATGTGTGGATACATTACTGTACTAGGATCCAGAAGCAGTCAGTGTGGCCAACCTGGGCGTGGGGTTATTGAAATAGGCATGGCCAGAGGCTGCTGGGGGTAGGGCGATACAGGTGGGAAGGAGTAGAATGGGTGGGGCCTGGATCCAGTGCCTACCTCACTGGGCCCCTCTCCCCCTCCCAGCTGACGCCAGGGGCTGGGTACCACTACGTGTCCCCACTACAGCCACCCATCTGCCCACCCTACCAGGAAGCCTGTGCCCGACGCCGCACTCAACGACTTGCCCGGCCCCCTGGTGGCCCCCCGGCCACCACTGGCAGTTTCCCCCTTGCAACCCCTGACCCCAGGGGGAGGGCTGGCAGAGGACCTGCGGGGGCTGGCAGTAAGTCCATAGTGGGTGGGGCTGCGTCCCTGGACACCTAGCTTGTGTGTGCCTCCATGTTTACGTTCTGGATACCTAGGTTCCCTGTATGGGTATACAGACACGCATATATATATATATATATATATATATATAGCATGCATGCATGCATGCATGTATATCATAAATGCCTGGATCCTGCCTGTGTGCACATTTTTAACTTGTTCTCTTCTGTGGTAGAAAGAAATAGTCTCTCTGACTCATTGCAATAAAAGATCTATAACAACCTCATCCCCTGAAGTCCTTCATGGGGGCGGGGTGGGCAGGGAGGAAACCTAGGCCTCTAGCTTTCCAGCCCCCACCTCCGATGCAGAAAGCTGAATGTAACGTGTGCTTCATATTATTCTACCACTCCTTAGCATGGTTGCTGGCTCTACATTTAATTAACAATCTTTATTTCTCAGGTAATAAACGCAAGAGGTTTATAAAAAACAAAAACAAAAAAAACAAACCCTTTTGCAGTAGCAAATGCCTTGGCACTGGCACCCTCCTGCGCTCCCACCACTGTGGGGTGGTGGGGCAGTATCTTGGACCCTATGACATCAGAATTGGAGGAGGGTTAATCTGAGGTGACTGTAGAGTGTGGGGTCTTCTTATGCCTAGGACCAGAAAGCATTTAGGAAGAGAGGAGACTTTTCTCTAAGGCCGTGAAGTGCGATACCCCAGCAGGCCCCTAGGAGGCAGCAAGGGGGGCTGGCTTTTGAACTGACCACAGAGTAAAGGATTTTCCATTGCTTTGAGAGACTATCTAGGAAGAATTGGCTGGACCATGGGCTAGTCTCTATGGTAGGCAGGGGTGTTCTAGTCTTACCATAGAGACCCAAGTCCTCCTTGCCCCTAGATAGGACCTGGAAGTAGCCTTTCTAGGAAACAGTTTGTCTATGGTAAGCAGTCAGAGAGGAACATTATAGCTTGAAATGGTTGGTCTAGAAAGCAGAGATAGGCAAGGTTCTTTGTGTAGATGTAATCTCTGCAGAGACTTCATATGCCTGAAGAAGGGGGATTGTACCTGAAAGCATGCAATTAACTTTTTATCCAACTGCTCAGTCTAATAAAAGATATCACATCTACCTGAAGAACCTTAAATGCTTATGTCCTTAAACCAACACAGCTACAACCGAAAACCAAGGGAGCTGGAATAGGCCATTTTGTATGGTAAATGGAACATTTATCCTAGCTGTCATGACCATAGAGACTAGGTCCTCTATGCTCATAGAAAGGACTGGGAAGTGACCTACCCACAAAGTAGAGCCTAGCCTGTGGTCCTATGATAGGCAAACGGAATGGTATTCTATCCCAACCATAGAGACCAGATTCTTCAGGCTCCTAGAGAAAACCAAGAAGTGACCTAATAGCCTGTGGTCTTTTCTTTATGGTAGATAAACAGAGCAATAGTCTGTCCTTATCATAGAGACTGGATCCTCCAGGTCCCTAGGGAAGTCTCTTCTGGGTCCTATCTGGGGGAGGGGAGAAACAGCTCAGGGAGTGGTATTTTACCCCAACTGTGAAGACCCAAGTCCTCCAGGCTTTTGGAAAGAACCTGGAAGCAAGCTAGGCTGTTTCCTTGATAGGTTATGGTCCTTCTCTGTAGTAGCCAGACAGGGAATGGCATTCGATCCCAACCCTAGACACCAAGTCCTCCAAATGTCTAGAGAAGATTAGGAAGTGGCCCATCTAGGAAACCCAGAAGTTATTCTCTATGGCAGGGAACCCTCCCCCAAACTCCCAACCATGAACAACCCATGCCCCTGGCTGCTGGGGGGGCATGGTGGCAGCATCAGCGCAGTGGTGGTGAGTGGGGAGCTCCTGCAGACACCACTGGCGCTGTTGGTGGCAGGGGGGTGGTGAGCACCAACCAGGGGTTGATGACCACCCACAAGTGGCAGCAGCCAGTAGGGATTGCTGACTGCCTGCAGACACTGGCAGTGGCACCTTTTTGTAGGAGGTGCACTGCCACGCTCAGGGGGTGCATGTGTACTCGCATGCACCCCCTATGCATTGCTTCTGCTCCCAACCACTGCAGGCCACCAGTTTCCCACATCTACTTCCCCATAGGGCACCAAGGCCTCCCTGCACCTGGGGCTGTACTCTATGGTCTGGGAGGACCTCCCCCATGGGTGGTCTGATGGTCCTGAAGGGGTGTTGTAGGGCAAGGTCTCAGTTGATGAGGCGGTACAGGACCCAGCAGGCAAAGGTGACCCAGTGGCTGGCCCAGCTTAACTCTGACCACTTGGCGATGGTGTAGGCCATCCCATAACCCTGCAGAAGGAAGGGGAAATGTAGGTATGGCTGGAGCCACCTGCAAGCTCCTCTGGGGACACAGCCTGGGACCAAGGACATTGTTTACAGCTGGAGGCAGTGGAATCTGGCTACCTGCTGCCAGGTACAGCCAAAGGCCTGGAGGACCTGCCTATAGATGGACACCGGCTCCTTGCCTCCGTGTGGGGGTGTCTACCTAGGATACAACCCCCACCACTCCCACAGGGCACAGAGAGAGGGCATCAGGATGTCTGTTCCTGCCTGGGGATGGGGTTATAGGTGGAAGGGCTCCACCCCAGCTGCCAAGCCTTGATTACCTGCTCCTCTATGGCATCATTGGCATCCATATCGAAGAGGCAGCCTAAGTAGGCCAAGTGGAAGACAGCTAGAGCACCAAAGAGCAGGTTCAGTGCCTGTACCCATAGTGCCTGAGGGAGGGGGAAGAGGGGGTTGTTAGGGAAACCAGGAATCTAGACTCCCAGTCCCCGCTCTCCTCCCAAAGAACCCAGGCAGCTGGATACTCTCTCTCTCTCTCTTCCCCCCCCTCCCCCCCAGGGAACTCAAGTGTCCAGGCTCTGCTCACCTTGCGGTGCTGGTGGCTGCAGGCACGGGGGCAGGGCTTGGACAGGATGCAGGCATCAAGGAGGACAGACAGACGCTTCCGTAGGACTGGGGGGGTTGGTGGTGAAAGAGAGAACCCTGTTGTCTGAGTTCCCAGCCCCCCATGACTACTCTCATTCCAGAAAACCCAGGCATTTGGGCTCCCCCAGGTTCAGAGGAAAATCTATGCTTCCCTACCCCTATCAGTATAGACACAGGTTGCAGTGACCCCCTCTGAGCAGCAGTGTGTGGGGGGTGGTTACCTTGCTCTTTTAAGGAGAGTGCCTGCAGCTTTTAAGGGGCAGTGGTACCCTCTGCCTGAAAGCAGGTGCTCCACCTTTTTAAAAGGGACAGTGCCCTCCTCTTAAAGGGGTAGCAGTGCTATACTTAGAAAGGCAGCTGACCTGACCCCCACCTTAAAGGTGCAGGGTTCTCTCCCTCTTACAGAAGCAAGTACCTCTTGAAGTAATAGAATGCCCTGTCCTAAAAAGGTGCAGAGTCCCTCTTAAAGGGACAGATACCTCAAAAGGGGCAAGGCCATCTTGAAATGACCCAAGAACCCTAAACAGGGGCCTATGCTCTCTTAAGGGTGGATTCCCTCTAAGGGGCAAACACCACCTTAAAAGTGGACAGTTCCCCCTCTTAAAGGAACACCCTTTTATGAGATTTAAAAGAGTGGAATTTTTTAAGGACCAACACCCCCTTAAAGGGGCAGATCCTTTTAAGGGCCCCTTCTTAAAGGGGTACAGTCCCCTGAAGGGATGGAATCTTCTCTCAAAGGGGCATATGCCTCTTTCAAATTGGCAAGAATTCCCCTTCTTGAAAGAGCAGAATCCCTGTCCCTCTTAAAGAGACAGTCCTCTCACCATGCTCCACGTAGGTTATGAAGCCCAGGCTGAGCAGAACGGCTGCCAGGTGGAAACTCAGGCCCTGGAAAAATGGGAGGGGGAACATGAAAGAGATTGAGTCAGCAAGGGGTGGGGCTTCCAGCTGCCCTGCCCCCACCTGCAGGCCCCACCCCCCTGGCCAGCACTCACATGAAGGAGGGCGCTAGCTACATAGGTCACCAGGATGGCCGGGAAGGTGCCAAGGGTCAGAGCTGCCTGGAACACATCTGGCAGATAGGGCCAGGGCCGGGGCCAGGGTCACCCCTTGGCTATGTCCCCCTCCCCACAACTCCTGACCCACTACCACCCCCTTCTGCTAGGTGCCCCAGGGCCCCTTCCTCCTTTCCTTCCCACCCCTGCTCCACCCCACACAGCCATGTTCCAATCCCCACCCCCACCCTTATCCCCACCCCCAGCTCCTCCAAGCCCCAATTCACCCCCTCCTCCCAGCTATGCCCCAGTCCTAGTCCCACCCTTTCTCCAAAACCCACAAGCCCTTAACCCCACCTCCTCCTCTCAGACATGCCCCACCCCCATCTCCAAGCCCATTCTAGCCCCTTAGCCCTGCCACCTCACAGGTGTGCAGCCAGCGAGACATAGGCTGGTTCCAGTTTATTACGACTTCAACCATTGAGCGTGGCAGCTCCACCTCCAGCGGGCGCGACACCGTCAGGTCCCTGAGGGGGGGCGGGGTGGACAGGGATGCCCAGATGCCTGGGTTTAGCCCGGCTTGCAGGGGGTGGGGCAGAAAACAGAGGAACCCAGATGCCTGGATTCTTACCCAGCTCCAGGCTCTGTTGGGACAGCAGCCAAGGTGCGTGGGGACTGGGTTACCCAAGTGGAGGGCACAAGCCAAGGGGCAGGGGGGTATAGACTGCCCAGACACTTGAGTTCCCTGGTCAGGAAAATGTCCTGATACTTATGTTGGTCAGAGGATATCTAGACACCTAGGTTTGTTGGGCAGGGGCATGACCTAGACACCTGGGTTCTCAGGTCAGGGGAGTACCTGGACACCTTGATTCCCTTGGTGGAGCTGGAGGGGGCCTGGGTTGGCAGGGGTCCCTTGGATGCCTGGGTTCTCTGGCCACTGGTTGAAATGCCCAAATACCTGGGTTGCTTGGGAGGGGGTCAAGGTGTCTGGACAGCTGGGTTCCCTTACCAGGATTGAAGGGATCTGGGTGGGGAAGATTACTTGGATGTCTAGGTCACCTGGTCAGAAGGATTCCCAGATGCTTAGGTCCCCCCAGAAGGATTGGAGGGGGCATCTCCCTGGTCAGGAGGATGTCAGGGGCTGAGTTGCCTGGAGCCCTGGGTCCCCTGGGGAGGGTGTTGGGGGTTCTCCCAGACACCTGGATCCCACTGCTTACCAGGCCAAGTGGTCCTTGTGCTCAGAAAAGCCAGTGCCAGCGAGGGTGGCTGTGGCCTCAGACAGGAAGGCCACGAAGTAGTTGCTGAAGTGGAAGGACACAGCACTCTCATAGGCTCGCAGCCACCTGGGGTTGGGACAAGGGGTCAGGGGCAGGGCCAGGCCCCACCTACAGGACCTTGGCCCCACCTCTACCCCCTACTCACCTCATAGCCAGGCTCCTGCACAGAGGAAGAAAGGAGACAAATGTCAATCATAGGGAGGGGATCTGGCCTAGAGAGAGCCCCACCCCCTCAGTCTGGGTCCATCCCCAAGCAGGTGAGGATTACCTGGCTTTGTGCTTCTTCCTGCTGCTATCCAGAGGAAAAGCAGAGAGAAAGAGAGAGAAGGGACAGAGGTGCAGCCTAGATGCCTGGGTTCTCTGGGTGGGCAGGATGCAGGCAGGGAGCCCAGATACCTGGGTTCTCTGGAAGGGGAGAGGGATGTGAAGGCTGAGAGCAGGGTGGGCTGGGATCCTGGATGCCTAGGGTCTCTGGGAGGGGAGTGGGGCTGGAGGATGAGAGCATGGGGTGTGGGGGAGTCCAGGCACTAGGTTTCTTTCATTGGGGGGCAGGAGACTCACCTCTTGAGCAGGTGGTAGCCGTAGAGGGGCACGAAGTAGGAGAAGAGATAAGGGGCAATGCAGGTGGAGACCAGGAGGCAGAGGAGGGAAAGGAGGAAGCTCCAGGTCACCTTCCACAGCCAGGCCAGGCTCTGAGGGATGGCAGAAGGGGGCTAGAGGTGAGGGGGGGCTCCAGTTCCCTTCCCCTGCCCCTCTCCCCAGTTCCAGGGAGGCCACAGCACACCCAGCTCTGGGCTGGGACTGAAAGGGGCACAAATAGGGCTAAGATGCACCCAGCTCTGGGCTGTGGCTGCTAGGAATGGCCCAGCATAATGGCACACATAAGGCTGAGATGTAGCCAGCTCTGGGATAAGGTGCTGGGAAACAGCCAAGTATAACAAGGCACAGATGGGGCTGAGATGCACCCCTCTGGGGTGGGATGCAGGGAAACAGCTGAGTATAATGCAGCACTAATAGGGTTGAGATGTGCCCATGTCTGGGGTTCAACAGCCGAATATAACAGGATGGAAGGCAGCTGAGATGCAGCCAGCTTTGGGATGAGGACAGCTGGCAACCAACTAAGTATAACACCCCAGGGTAGGGCCCTGATGCAGCCAGCTCTGGGGAGAAGCAGCTGAATATTACACCCTGCAAGAAGACTGAGATACAGCCAGCTCTGAGTGGGGCAGCTAGGAAATGGCTGTAGGTCATAGAGAGGGCTGAGATGCGCTCAGCTCTGGGGTAGAGCAGCTGGGAAGCTCCTAATATAATGAGGCTCAGATAAGCCTAAGATGCACCCAGCTCTGGGGTGCAACAGCTAATTATAACTCCACACAAGTATGCCAAAGTGCAGCTAGCCCTGGGATGGGGGCCATTGGGAAACAGCCAAGCATAACAGGGTACAGACAAGCCTGAGATGTGCCCAGCTCTAGGGTGGAACAGCTGAGTATAACACCATAAAGGGATACTGAGGTGTGCCCAGCTCTGGGGTGTAGCCAGTAGAGAATGGCTGAGTATAATGCCTCCCTCCCAGTTCCCCCCCCACAGGTCCTCACCAGCCCCGGCCCATCCACGGCACGGGTGTAGCTACGGAAGGGCAGCCAGGGCCCGAAGACCACGGTGCCCACGAAATAGATGTACCCCATGAACTCAAGGGGTGATGGTAGTGCTGGGATCTCTCCGCGGTCCAGGTCGAAGGCCAGAGACACTGCTTTCATAGCCACAATCATCTGTGCCCCTGGGGCGGAACAGGGGGGAAAAGAGGAGTGGGACCCAGGCATCCAAGGCAGCCACGCCCAGCTCTGAGTTAACTTGCCAGAGAACCCAGGCATCCGGCTCCCAGCCCCGCTGCTCTCACCCCGCAACCCCTACTCCCCGCCCAGAGGGGTCCTCTCACCTCTCATCTTGTGCCAGGTGACAGTGTCCACCATGTGCATCTCACTGGGGGAGGCAGGGAAATTGTCAGAGAGGGGAGTGACTTGCTTGGAAACCAACCCCATACCCACACCCCCACAGCTCAACCCAGCTCCCCTAGACCCCACCCCATCTCCAATCTATCCCCACCCCTCTACCTCAGGCCCTACCCCCATAGCTCCACCCTTTCCATCAGGCCCCACCCCCATGCCTCTATCCTTATATACAGCCCCGCCCATCTCCTTCAGCCCTGCCTCTCCCCAGATCCCAGCCCCATACTTTAACCTCTCTATATAGCCCCACCCATTCTCCAGGCATCACCCTTCCCTCTCAGTCCCTGGCCCCAGACCCTACCCCACACCCCCAGCTCTTTAGATATCTCCATCCCCTCCCCAGGCCCCACCTCTCCCTTAGTCCCAGCCCCCATAGCTTCACTTCTTTCTATAGCTCCACCCTCACCCTATAGCCCCCACCTCTTTATATAGCCCTGCCCCAATCCCCCTCAGGCCCATCCCCCACAGCTCCAGCTCTCAATAGCTATTTTGCAAAGTCTATGTTGCCCCACCCCCTCCAAAGACCCCCAACCCATACCACCATCTCTCTATAGCCCCATCCGCTCTGCCCCAGGCCCCACCTCCATACTCCCCCCAAATCACTGACCCCAGCAGCAGGTAGACGAGGGTGGCGGTGGCCAGGCAGGGGCCATGGCAGGGACGGGGGCCCCGCCGGGCCAGGGCCAGCACCAGGTAGCAGAGCAGGCTCAGAAGCACCAGCCACACCACATGCAACCCAAAGAAGCCCTGGAGCGCCACAAAACCGCTGGCTGCTGCCCCTGCATGCTTCCATCCCCGCCCCACCGCTGCAGGGGGAGGGACACAGCATGTCAGAGACCCAGGCATCGGAGTGTCTTGCAACACACACCCCCTCCCCCACTTGGAGATCTGGGTGTCTGGGAGTGTGGCAACACCCCTTCAAAATAGGGATTCAAGTGTCTGACCCAGGTGTCCAGGTACCCAGCTCCCTGAGAATCCAGGCATCTCAGCTCCCTGAGAACCTACCCACGGAATGCAGGCATAAGGGCTTTCAGCACCCTGAGAGCCCAAGTATCCAGGCCCCAACCTGAAAAGCCAGGCATCTGGGCGCCTCCCTCCCTGCATCTGGAGAACCCATGTGTCCTGGCCACACTGACCCCACAGCCAGACATCTGGGCTTCCAGGTGGCCTTGAGAACCCAGGCATCCAGGCTCTCAGCTCTCCCAAGAACCCAGGCACATAGCCACCACCACCCTACATCTGGTGAACCCAGGCATCTCAGCACCTACCCCCCCCCCCCCCCCCCCCACCGACCCCCCAAACCCCACCCCCAGCCCCCAAGAACCAAGGAGTCCAAGTCCTCAGCATCCCCTCCCAGAACTTCACACTCACGGAGGTGCCAGAGGAGGCGAGAGGCAGCACAGAGTAGGACGAGTCCCCCCAGCTGCTCCAGCCCCTGCCAGACTGTGGGCATCAGGCAGCCCCCCACCAGCTGCCCAAAGAACTCCTGGGCAGAGCCGGGCCCCTCCATCGCCCCTGTGGGGGACAGGGGGTGGAGTCAGGGGCGGGGCTTTGGCCTGGTCCTGCCCCCCAGGGATACAGTAGACCCCAGCTCCCCCGCCCTGCTATGGCTCTCTGCAGCACAAGGAGGGAATACCAAGCCAGTGGGCGGCGGCTTCATGATAGCCACGCTCCCAAGTAGCGGGGTGGAGCCCGGCTCCGTGCATTGCACGAGGGCAAAGAGATAACAGGCCAGGAGGCGGGGCCTCACCCTGGCCACGCCCCGAAATCCCTGGCCCCGCCCCCAATGAAGGGACAGAGTCTAGCTCCGGTACCTGGCTGCAGCCCCCTGCAGGTTCGGGGGCGGGACTTCCCTAACCGCGCCCCCGATGGGTGGGGCCTGGTTCCCCGGCCTGGCCACAATCTCCTGCAGAAGGAGGCAGAGGCATTAGCCCAGGGGGCGGAGCTTCCCGGGAAGGGGGGTTATAGGAGCCCAAGGCGGGGGTAGGAAACCCTCCCTCCAGCTTTCCCTCCCACATTGGCTACAGACGTCCGAAGTCCCCACCCCGTTCCTGAAGGGCCCGCGCACCTCTGGCCCGGCCACGCCGCCTGGCCGCTTCTCCGTGGCTGTCCCAGGTCCGAGGGAGAGGTCGGAGGAAGGGGGTCTGTCTCCTTTAAATTTGGGCAGGGAAGGAGGGGAGGAATAAAAGAAAAGAAGCCAATGGGAAGTGAGAACGGAACGCAGCCAATCAGGAGCCTGGACGGGGATGATGGACGTCAAGGGCAGCCAGTGGGGGAAAACGGTATGGAGGGGGGTTTTAGCGCTCGGATGCCTGGGTTCTCCAGGCCCCTCGGCGGAAGTGAGGTTGGAACCCCAGACGTCACGGCTCCTAGACTCGCCCCTCCTCCTCCAGAGAACCCAGGGGTCTGGGGTGCCCCAAGTCATGTGACGGGGCCTGCCGCGGCTTCCGGAAGGGTGAGCTGCTAGGGGAGGTTGGTTGCTAGGGAGCGGCTTGTGCTGGTAGGCAGGAGCGCCAGTTACAGTGGGGCGAGGGCGCAAGCCATTGTGGGAAAAGACGGGGTAAGGAGGGGGACCCTTCGTATCCCACAATGGTCCGCTCGAGGGTTGGGGTGGGAGAGGTGGCAGAAGCAGGGCATTGTGGGAAGGGACAGAGCTTAGCGAGATCTCCAGTATCCCACAATGCCGTGCTTCTTTGCCGTCATTGCAGAGGACCCAGAGGTTAGAGGGGTTTGCAAAGCATTATGGGATACTGGAGAGGGATGGGCGATTCCCCCTTCCTACAGTGCTATGCAACTTTAACCCCACCCCCTGTGCTTGCTGTCCAGTATTCCATAATGCCCCGCACGGGCTTGGAAGTGAGGAGGGGAAGGTGGAGCAGTGCATTGTGGGAAGGGAAAAGCACCACCCTGCCCAGTATTCCACAATGGACTGTGTCAGGGTTTGGGACTAAGGTTCAGCCTGTTTGTGGGAGATGAGAGCAATGCATTGTGAGAAGGGAGCTGACAAGGTGCCCCCCCAGTACCCCATGATGCCTTGCAGACCCCCTGGAATTCTGAGTCCTCTCAAAGTTGGGGTAAAGAAGTAGGGCACTGTGGGAAGAGAAAGGACAAGGCCTACCCCCAAGTATCCCACAATGCCTTGCAGACCCCTTCAACTTCTGAATCTTCTGGACTTGGGACAAGAAATCAGGGGGATGCTGGGGGTTCTCCTGTATCCTAGCATGCTATGGGGGGGCAGGGCATTGTGGAATACTGGGCAGGCCCTGCACTATCCCACAATATTGATTCTGTCCTTACTCTTCCCCCC